TGGTAGAAATGTAAATTAGTACAACCACTATGGAGAACAGTATGGTGGTTCCTGAAAAACCTAAAAATAGAACTACCATATGAACCCAGCAATCCCACTTCTAGATATATATCCAAAAAAGGGAAATCAATATATCAAAAAGATACCTGCACTCCTGTGTTTATTGCAGCATGATTCACAATAGCCAAGATTTGGAATCGACCTAAGTGTCCACCAGCAGATGAATGGATAAAGAAATTGTGGTACATATGCACAGTGGAATATCATATAGCCACAAAAAGAATGCAGTCCTGCCATATGCAACAACATGGATAGAACTGGAGAACATTAACATTAAGTGAAATAAGCCAAGCACAGGAAGACATCTCATATGTTCTCACTCACATGTGGGAGCTAAATATTAAAACAATTGATCTCATGGAGACAGAGTAGAATGATGGTTACCAGAGGCTGGGAAGGGTAATGGGGGAGGAGATAAAGTGGGGATGGTTAATGGGTTCAAAAATATGGTTATTAATAGATAGAATGAACAATATTTGATAGTACAGCAAAGTGACTATAATGAACAATAAGGTATACTTTAAAATAACTAAAAGAGTGGAATTAGAATGTTCTAATAGGAAGAAATCAGGAATGCTTGAAGTGATGGATACCCTAGTTACCCTGATTTGATTAATACAGATTGTATGCCTGTATCAAAACATCACATGTACTGTATAAAGATATACAGCTATTATGTACCCACAGTAATTAAAATTAAAAAAAAATGATAAAGGTATCTAATCATTATTGTTTTAAAGTATATACCTTCTAAAAATTAAGCCTGTACTCAGCAGTTAAAAATAGTATGTAGGAAGATCAGAACAACAATATTTTGTGTTTGTGGAACTCTTTCCACATAGTAATTTAGTTTAAGTTAATTTCCTCTTTGATATTTTTGCATAATCTTTAATTGTGTAATTCATCTGTTGTCCTTGGTGTCTTTCATTTATTACTATTGATTTTAGTTTTTTGTTTTTTTTTTAATGGGCTAACATTCTGTTATCATAGTCCATTTATATATCCTGAGATAAGTTAAAGGCTATTTTCTGCCTTAAAAAGAAATTCATTATATTTTCTTATTCTCAAGAATTGGGACAACTTAATTCCAAAATTACTATCAGTTGATAATAGTATTACTTTAATTTGAAATGCTGTAGTCTCTGAACATCTCAATTTAATTAAGCTATAGATATTTGGTGAGATGACATAGTGAAGATTTTAATAAAGAGTAAGGATATTGGATTTTGATATTAAATGCAATAACCAACACATGAAGTTTTATCTTCACCTATCTCAAATTTGATGATTTTGAATAAACTTAACATTTTTAACATATAACACATTTTTTGTAGTGTTTGCTAACCTTTTATGAGAGAAAATTCTAAACATACTCTTGATAATAACCTGAAACTTTTATTTATTTTTTTAAATTGTTCCCTTATAGAATGTTTCTCCATCCCAGAGAGATGAAGTAATTCAGTGGTTGGCCAAACTCAAGTACCAATTCAACCTTTACCCGGAAACATTTGCTCTGGCTAGCAGTCTTTTGGACAGGTTTTTAGCTACTGTAAAGGTAAATATTTTAAGATACCATTTACATATAACCTCTTGTTTTAGTGTTTATATGCTAAACTGGAGGCTATTAGTAAACATTCTATAAAGTGAAAAGCAGTGGAGAACTTTCCTGGAGAATGGTATATGTACCCATAGGAAAACATGGTGTCTTCTGCTATTGTTTTAAATTTTTGGAAGTGTTACTGATTGTATTCTATAATTATCTTTTTGCTGTAAGTATTCATAGCGTAGACTGTGAAATTTTTGATCTCTTGATTTTAGTATAAACTGCATAGCATTGGCAGAATGTTTAGTCATCTGACATACTTGGTGTACTAAAGGTGGACAGTGAATCAGACTAGGAAAGTATAAGCCTGTTGTACATTTTTCTTTGTCACTAATTTATTGAACATTTATTTATTTATTTTTTGAGACAGAGTCTCACTGGTCGTGCCCGGCCATGATTTGTCATTAAATAAATGCTGCTTTAAAAATGCTGAGAGCCGGCCGGGCGCGGTGGCTCACGCCTGTAATCCTAGCTCTCTGGGAGGCCGAGGCGGGCGGATTGTTTGAGCTCAGGAGTTCGAGACCAGCCTGAGCAAGAGCGAGACCCTGTCTCTACCAAAAATAGGAAGAAATTAATTGGACAACTAAAAATATATAGAAAAATCTAGCCGGGCATGGTGGCGCATGCCTGTAGTCCCAGCTACTCGGGAGGCTGAGGCAGGAGGATCGCTTGAGCCCAGGAGTTTGAGGTTGCTGTGAGCTAAGATGACGCCACTGCACTCTAGCCCGGGCAACACAGTGAGACTCTGTCTCAAAAAAAAAAAAAAAGACATGTCATGAAAAAGTAGAAAAGTAATTTAGCTGTAGTCGTTTGTATGCCTAGGAATATGTAAACTAGGGGAACTGAATTAAATGCTTGGTTATTAGGTATAAAAAGTAGAAGCCAAAGAATTTAAGGAATGTAGGAGTGTAAGTTTGGATAGCCACTCGGTTATGTTTCAAACTTCTACTCTTAAGAGACTTAAAAGAACCCTTAATTATGATGCTAATTGCCTGAAATCTGGATTATCTGGGAAGTGCCTACTTTTATCTCAGCAACACATCCACATCCCTCCTCCTTCTTTATTTACCACAGCTAACTCACCTTTCACAGATAGTTCCACAGAAAGATGAGTTTAAGGTTAGTGTCCTTTCTTGGGTTATATATTCTTCAAGAATTATTAATGAGTGTATTGTTAGAGCTTCTATCATGAAAGAAGTTTTGTTTTATTTTGTTTTTTGTTTGAGATAGGGGTCTTGCTCTGTTGCCTGGGCTAGAGTGCAGTGGTGTCATCATAGCTCACTGCAACCTCAAACTCCTGAGCTGGAGCAATCCTCCTGCCTCAGCTGCCCAAGTAGCTAGAACTACAGGCGTGTACCATCACACCTGGCTAATTTTTTCTATTTTTTGTAGAGACCAGGTGTCTCCCTCTTGCTCAGGCTGGTCTTGAACTCCTTGGCCTTAAGCGATCCTCTTGCCTCGGCCTCCCAGAGTTCTAAGATTACAAGTGTGAGCCACTATGCCCAGCTAAAAGAGATTCTTAACAGTTTACTAAACATTTTAAACAAATTTGGGGAAATTTCATTTTTTTCATATGTTTTATTTATTGGATCCTGTCATGTTTTAGTAACATTAGAAACCCTTACTTACAGATGGTTAATCTATATTAAAACAATCTAAAATGTATTTGTAGCTTTAATAAAGGCATTTAAAGCAGACTGTAAAAGGGCTACAACAATAAATGGAGCTTCAATCCTCACTGTGCAGAAGAAATCACTGTGAAGCTCTTTAAATGTATGGAATCTGAGCCCTATCTCAGACCTACTGAATCTGAATCTCTAGTTGGTGAGATCTGGTTGTCCGTGCTTAAAGAAGCAAAACCATGTTACACAAATAATTCTAATAGTCAACCAGAATTGAGAACTACTGTTTGTTTTAAAAAAAAAAAAAAAATCACACATTTGCTGTTGGCTTTTTTTTTTAATTACTAAATTTATTCTTGATTTAGGCGTTGTATTGCTTACCCAAAGTTATTAACTGGTAGGCTCTTTTGTTTGTAATGATCTCAGATTACCTGAGGGATGTGGGTTTTATATATTGCATGCGTGGGAAAATAGGGAGCCTGGAAAACTGTATTGGCAGCCAGATCTGATTTCATTTCCTAGATCACCTGTGTGTGTCTCTTAACCTCTGAGGCTGTTTTCTCACCTGTAAAATAAAGAAATAACAGACATGATGCTGTTTATGGAAGTGCCTTCTAAACCATAATGCTTCTAATTAATACTTAAAATTATTTTAAAATATTGATAGTATTAAACTTTTATGTCATGTGGACAGAGGATTGGAAGATTCCTAGAGTGTATGTCCCTTATAGTTGTTATTGGCATGTTTATTAAATGATAAGCTATGTTTATTAAATAATAATCAAGACCATACTCCGGTCATCAGAATTCCACAATGTTAGGGGAATGTAATATTTTATTTAAGTATAACATAATATTGAAACAGGTTTCATTGGTGTTCTTTTTTTGTATTATTTAATTTGCCTTTGTGTCATTCAGTATAACTTGGACTATGTTGTCCTAATTGTACTAAACAGGATTCTGGTGCTGTGTTAGCAAACAGACTGAAAGTGAGCCTGCCTCGTTATAGGTAGGGAAACAGGCAAATTCGAGCCCTCTTATGTGTGTCAAACTCAAGAAAGATAATTTTTTTTCACTAACTGATCTTGTATGGATTTAGGACCTTTTCATTCTTATCATAGAACTTGAATATAGGTTTGTGTTGACACTTAATAATTAGAAAATTTTTACTCATCTGCTAGCATGCTATAATTTTTTTAGAGTATTTGAAGCATACTAATAGCTTTTTTTATATTCTTTTTTCTCTTTAATTCTCCTAACACATTGTATGTTATCTTACTGATTATTTTGTTAGATAAAGAAAATAGAATTAAAACAAATTTTTTTGCACACACCAAAGTATATATTTTTAAATTTTGGGAATATTATTAAAAACTTATATTCTAAAAAGCTCTTCTCTGCTGGATAGAAATTTGGCTAACTGGCTTTAATTGAACTTCAAGCAATTGAATATTATTTTCATAGATTATCACATGGCTAGGGTTGTAATGTTAAAAATTAGCTCTGATCTAGAAAGCAACGGTGGGAATCAAATTGAATTCCACAGAATTGTGTACATGTCTCATCTGCATATCTAATCTTTAAAAACAGTTATAAAAAGTTAATAAACCCTTTTTGAAAAATCACTAAAGTTTTTTTTTCCCTCTTCAAAATTTTAGGCCCACCCAAAATACTTGAGTTGTATTGCAATCAGCTGTTTTTTCCTAGCTGCCAAGACTGTTGAGGAAGATGAGGTAATAAATCCTTTCAAGATTGGTTATGTTTCTTTTGTGAAAATTTCTCCCCATTCATTAATGTGCTTTTGGTTTGCTAAAAACAAAAATTGAAAACGAGTTTATTTCTTTGTCCTCTTCCCTGTGTGTCTGTTTTCCTTTGTTTTGGGTAGAGAATTCCAGTACTGAAGGTATTGGCAAGAGACAGTTTCTGTGGATGTTCCTCATCTGAAATTCTGAGAATGGAGAGGATTATTCTGGATAAGTTGAACTGGGATCTTCACACAGCCACACCATTGGATTTTCTTCACATTGTAAATATACCTGAAGTCTCTTAGTTTCCTTTTTTTTTTTTTGAGACAGAGTCTCACTGTGTTGCCCGGGCTAGAGTGCCATGGCGTCATCCTAGCTCACAGCAGCCTCAAACTCCTGGGCTCAAGGGATCCTCCTGCCTCAGTCTCCCGAGTAGCTGGGACTACAGGCATGCGCCACCACCCCCGGCTAATTTTTTCTATGTATTTTTAGTTGTCCAATTAATTTCTTTCTATTTTTAGTAGAGATGGGGTCTCGCTCTTGCTCAGGCTGGTTTCGAACTCCTGAGCTCAAACAATCTGCCCGCCTCGGCCTCCCAGAGAGCTAGGATTACTCTTAGTTTCTTATTTGAATATGTAGTCTTGTTTCAGTAAGTTAAAAAATAGGTTGCCCACTCATTTATTTTGTACCGATTTTTAGGCAAAGGAAAACTGTTGAAATTGGCCAAGGAAAAATTAGAAATTAGTATATATGTCAAGTCACCGAGGCTAAAATTACAATGTTAGAAATTGAGTAGTTATATCAGTTTCTATACGTAATTTCCTAGACAAATAAAACTAAAATGATGTTTTTGTGATTTTTTTTTTTTTTTTCAGTTCCATGCCATTGCAGTGTCAACTAGGCCTCAGTTACTTTTCAGTTTGCCCAAATTGAGCCCGTCTCAACATTTGGCAGTCCTCACCAAGCAACTACTTCACTGTATGGCCTGCAACCAACTTCTACAATTCAAAGGATCCATGCTTGCTCTAGCCATGGTTAGTTTGGAAATGGAGAAACTTATTCCTGATTGGCTTCCTCTTACAATTGAACTGCTTCAGAAAGCACAGGTAAGTGTCAGTCTAATTAAATAGTGTTCGTTTTAAGTTTTTCTGTTGGAATGCATAGAGTTACCAGATGGTTATAGAACTAAGAAACATTGTTAATCTTGTAATCGCAAATCATTGTTAAGAGTAGACAAGGGCGGGGTGTGGTGGCTCATGCCTGTAATCCCAGCACTTTGGGAGGCTGAGGCTTGAGGCCAGGAGTTTGAGACCAGCCTGGGCAACATAGACCCTATCTCTACAAAAAATGAAAAAATTAGCTGGGCCGCTGGCACATGCCTGTAGTCCCAACTACTTGGAAGGCTGAGGCAGGAGGATCGCTTGAGCCCAGGAGTTCTAGGCTGTAGTGAGCTATGATTGCACCACTGCACCTCAGCCTGGGCAAGACCCCGTCTCTTAAAAAAATAAATAAATAAATAAATAAACCAAAGTAAAGTATACACTTTAAATTTATGAGCTGGTCGGCTAGATGTTCCTTTTTTCCTTGAAAAATTTAGATAGTATTTTTTAAATTATTTTCAGCCTTTCCCCTAAATTAAGAATTTTGAAAAATTAGTAAGATTCTCAGTAATGTATTCTCCTTCAGTTTCATATAAAGAAACTTCCTAGCTACATCTATAGGTTTCATGTAGTACTTCTCTATTTATTTTATAAAAGATGTCAGATACATAAATTGTAAGAAGTTGCTTTTTCAACAAGCAAATAATTTTTTGTTGGCTAGTAGGTGAAACATTTGTACCAGACTTTTAGCAGTTGGAAGCTATCTTTCTGAAAGCTTTTTGTCCTTATTGCCTAAGATTAGTTTGTAACTCGTATCTACAGATTGGTATAAAATATATAGGTTGATAAATTATCAACTACCTATATAAAACATGAAGGTTTAGTGGAGAAAATTCTCATTCAAGAGGAAAGTTGGTAATAGGGCTGTATGTTAGCAGCTACTTTAAGAGAAGGCTTACTGATTCTATTCATGTCACAAATTGAACTTACCAAGTTTAGCTCTGCCGCAAACCATACTTTTGTCAGCTGAGTCCATAAAAGACTTAGGGAATCTACTTTTCCTGTATGTGGCTCTATTTATTCTCATTTATCAAGTTATTCTGATTTGTTTTATTGGATTTTATTTAGAAGACTATTAAATTCTGAGCTTAAAAGCATTATGCAATAAAAAAACCAATTGTAATAAAGAACAGTTATTCAACTAATAAAACTTACAAAAGAATACTATAAAAGAAAAACAATAATGCTTGAATTTGGGTTTTTGTAAGATAATTATAATTGATCTTATAGCAGACATTTAAATATCTCAGTGCTACGCTCTCAGCTTCTGAGAATTTTAGGCTCTAGTTTGTAAGCAGAGAAGGGCTGAGAGTCTTTTCATAAAAGGGATAATGAACTTTACCTATACAGTGTAACACAGGCTATTTTTCCTTTTCAAGGAATATATGTTCTTATAATCATGTATCTTAGTTTGAAAAAACTTAGAGAAGTGTTTCCTTCCTTTGAAATAAATGCTGTAATGAAAATCCTAGGAATTAGTTGCTATTTAGTGAGAATTTTGTAAAACTGTCATAAACCATCGTTTAATGGTGTAGCACAGATAATTTACTTTGCCTACCTAGAGTGTTGGAAAATACAATTGAATATGAATCATTCACATCAGTCTGAAGTGGGGGAACAAGCTTACTAGAAAACCTACATTACATTATTTTTTGTTATTGTTGGAACAAATGACATCTCTCTAAATGCCTCCTGATTTGGTCTCTGCCTTTTCTCAAGTTAGTACAGAAAAGATTTCCTATATAAAATGTTAGTGTCAAAAGACAGGACAGACTTCAAACCATAAGTAATAAAAATGTTGTATGTAGCACATGTATTCTGTAGCTTTGAGAACCTATTCTTTACTGAAGAACACTAGAGAATGTGTTTCATTCTCTTTTGTAAGTTTTCTGATGCTAGAAGAAAGTTGTCACTGAAACTTTTCTCCTTAACTGAAGGAGTATTATAAACTTGGGATTTGACAGAACCTTTGTGGAAATCAATTCAGTCCCTTTATTTTATAGTCCCAGTTCAGGGAACCTGAGACTTTCTTAGAGCCATGTTGAACTACTTGGTAGTAAAGAAAACTAAAAAGAACCATTGCTTTTTCGATACGATACAAACTTTAAAAATTCTAGTTCACTGGTTTTCACAGTTTCCTTTGGAAGTAGAACCCTTTCTCTGTCCCTCTTCCCCCAACAAATTCTGTATGCAAACAATGCCAAAATACAGAGTAGAGTGGAATTGTACTTGTACTATGTGTTTGGAGCAGAGACATGTCAGGGTGCAGAGCCTACTCAGCATGACCTTTTCCCTTCCATAGCTATTTGGACATAGTTTGAAAACCAAGTTTTTGCATTCTCTTATATACATATTTAATACTTACATTCCACAAACATTTATTGAGAAATCTATGATCTACACACTGAGGATACAGTGATTTTTTTTTTTTTTTTTTTAAGTCTCTATCCCATATAGTGTTCACGTTGCAGTGGGGAAGATAGTGAACAAAAACAAGTAAGGTCGCAAAACTTGGTAGAGACTGTCAGGCTTGTTCTAACAGTTCTACTCTAAAACCAACTTGGACTAATAACCAACTTATGTGGCCCAAACAGGAATGGCTCCTGGTTCTTCAGGACTCAGTTATGTCTTTGCTAAGTTTACCTGTGTTCAGGTAGGAACACCAGGTTTGATATCTTTGTGATTAGACCCGTGACAAGGCCATAGTAGTATGATATATTCCTCCTGGATTTCTGATTCTAATATAGGAAGTTCTTGCAGATCAGATTGGTGAGATCATGGCAGAATTACTTCTGACATGATTCCCAGTGTCTTGGTTTGAGGAGGGTCTATCACAGACATTTCTTGCTGTGCGGAGCCCACTATTACTAGCTCTGCCTATCTCTCCTCTAGACTTGAGACAAAGAATGGTGAGTGTACCGAGGTTTGAAAGGCAAGCTTCCTCTTGCCCTTCCTAGCCTCCCACCTCCACCCCATTGAGCTCTCCTGCCACCAGTTGGTCACCATTCTGGGATTGCTAAACCTTTCTCTTACCCCTTCTACCCTTGCTCTACTTGTGTGGCTATGTTCCTATCTCTCTTCTTTCTGACTGATATGGGCCACCTTGGTAATTTCAGGGTGTTAACTCTACCAAGATTAGTAGGGGATTAGTGGGAGTAGATGTCTAGTTTAATACTAGAGTAGGGAGTTAAAGAAGCACACCCTACTTAAAACGGTCTCTTGGTTCTTCTTGAAGGTGGCTAAGGTTAGGCTATTCCAGCAGGTATTTATAGTGCTTCTTGCTGCCCACCAAACTTGGATCCATCTGGACCTATAACTTATGTCATTTATTGTTATGAAAAATAATGGTTCTCTTGACACCCTATTATTAGAAGTTGTAATTAGAAAGTTCATTTATTTTATTTTATTTTTGGAGACAAGTCTCACTCTGTTGCCTGGGCTAGAGTGCTGTGGCATCAGCCTAGCTCAGAGCAACCTCAAACTCCTGGGCTTAAGTGATTTTCCTGCCTCAGCCTCCCGAGTAGCTGGGACTACAGGCATGTGCCGCCATGCCCGGCTAATTTTTTCTATATATATTTTTAGTTGTCCAGCTAATTTCTTTCTATTTTTAGTAGAGACGGGGTCTCACTCTTGCTCGGGCTGGTCTCAAACTCCTGAGCTCAAATGATCTGCCTGCCTTGGCCTCCCAGAGTGCTAGGATTATAGGCGTGAGCCACCGTGTCTGGCCAGAAAGTTCATTTTAAATCCTTTTAACAGAACTCCACTAGAGGACTTCTGGGTGTCTAGAGTTGCAATTCCAGTATATGTGCTTGGTTTGTTTTGTTTCCTCCTAGATCTCAACAAGGATCAAAAATTTTTTTTTTTAGAAGAAATTCAGATTGTACTAGATTAGAAGGAATTTATTTTGATTTATTATTTTGGTACTTGGGTGGAAGTGCAGTTCATATAGATGATTTTGGTTTGAATAATTTCCAGTGTCCTTACTAGCCCTATCATTTTTTGCCAGTCTTCACCTCTAAAATATAACTCTGTATTTACTTACTTTTTTCACACAGGAAGATTATAGTGACATAAATAGTCTTCCTTAAATAGATGTGGTTTTTTTTCAGGATTCTACCTTGGTATTGAGCTGCCATGGTATTTATTATGCCCAGTGGCCAAGGCATTAGAATATTTGTGGTACTTCTACTTTCTAGGCCACTAGGTATCATTCAGTTGCTGAAGAACAGTTCATTAAACTAGGTACAGCCAGCCCTCCGTGTCCGTGGGTCCCGCATCTGTGGATTCAACCAACTGTGGATTGAAAATAGAAAAAATTCCACAAAGTTCTAAAAAGCAAAACTTGAATTTGTCACTCACCAGTACTATATTGAATCTATGCAAATAAAGTGATGTGAGGCATTGTATTAGGTATTACAAGTAACCTAGAAATGATTTAACATATAGGGGAAGATTGCATAGGTTATATGCAAAACTATGCCATTTTATGTAAGGGAACTTGAGCATCGTCAGATTTTGGTATCCATGGGGTGGGGTGAGGGTGGGGTCCTGAAACTAGTTCCCGATGGATGGATACTAAGGGACGACTGCACTTATTTTTTAGAAGTAATTTCTACACCATAGCCTTTTTTCACTTCCCAATTTATCTTTCCTTTCTATTACCTATTACTTTCCTTTTGTAGGCTTCTTAAAGTATTGACAGAATCCCCATCCCTTCTTTGTGCCACTGTTTTTAGCATGATTCAGGTGGTTCTGCATTCCTGGGGCATATGTTAAGACCTATCCTACAGTAGTAAACTTGATAGTTGAGGAACTATCCTAATTTTTTTCTTTTAAGGGAGGGAAAAACCCCTCTAATACTAGTTAATAGTGTCTTACCCATAGTGTCTTATCTAGTGCTTTTCAAACTAGGCAAAAACTAGTAAACAAATTGTAGATGTTAAAATCTGCTATTTTCATGTCTGTTTCTGAAAATATCAGTTATTTTTACATTTGTATTACATGAGGACTAATAGCATTTCATCCTTCTGTCCACTGATATTTTTCTCAATAACAAATAATATATTTAGAGGTAATAATTTTATGACCAAATGTATTCTTTTAGAATATGTTACCTTCCTTTATTTTCTCTGTGGTATTGCAAATAGTCATTCTATGTGATGTTATATAGGGATGAAAGACTTGGTCTAGAAATGTTCAAAATACCTATAAAATACCCGAAACTGGAAAAAAGTGATCCCTGATAATTAAATGGTCAGTCAGGGTAGGCTTCCTGAAGGTGATGGCATTTAGCCAGGCCTGGAAGGAATGGGTAATACAATTTCAATAGGTGTAAAAATAGGATGAGCAAGGGTAAAGTAAGACAAGGGAAGAATTGTGCATAATAGGGAATGGGTCTGTTTGGCAGGAATGCAGAACACAAATTTGGGGGGTATGCTAGGAAATAAGACTGGAAAAGAAGGTCGGGGTCAGGTTACAGAGAGCCTTATTAATACTAAGCTAAGGAGTTTAGCTTATTTCTGCTAGGCATTGGGGTGCTGGTGAAGATAGTAGGGGAGAAATACATGCTGCTACAGGAAGATTATTTTGACAGTGCTGTAATTGTAGGGAAAGTAAGGCAGAGAGCTACTTCACTACGGGTAAGATTTTGAAGGCCTTCCGTATGCAGTCACTGTGCTAGAAACTTAGGGATAAAAAGATGAATACAATACAGTGCTAGCACCTTGGATCTTATAATCTGTAATGGAAAGGCTAAGTAACTAAATAAAAATTTTAATAAAATGTAAATATGACAACAGGTTGATACAGAAACAGATAACCATGGCCTTTGAGGTGTTTAGGGGGTTAGGGAAATCTCAGGGTGATTCCAGAAAGGATTGAAAATTGAACTGTCCTGAAGGGTAAGAAGAAATTAGCAAAACTCCCAAATTAAACAAAAACATAAGCAAAACATAAGCACTTCTTCCTAGTGTTGCTGTGTCTACTATTTTGTACAAAATATAACTTGTCTAAAGTTCTCATTGTTTTAAAAATATTCTAAATTCTTAACTAGACAGGTTTCCTTCTTCATCCCTGCTGAAAAATTTTTTTTTCTTGCCTCTGGCTTTTTCCTTAAATTCTTAATGTTGTATTTATCTGTATTTTGGTCTGCACTGAAGAAATTAGAAGAAGCCAAAAGGGTGAGATTGAGGAGTCTTCTAGACAGGGGAAACAGACTGAAGGAAAAAAAAAGCAGACATAGGAGTGAACAAAAGAGAATAGTTTCTGCTCTCATGTAAATGTCCAGCATATAATTGCAAATGCAGAATTCAAGTTCCAAAGAGATTTATATTAGAAGTACAGATTTGGATATAATTTCTAAGAAGATGATAGGTAGGCTGGAGAAAGATGAGTTTGAAGATGTGGGGAGAGAAAAGAAGGCACAGGGCAGAGGGCACAGGGAGGGAAAGTGGCCAGGAAAGATGACAGAGCTATTTAAAGTTCATTAATGAGTACCTTTGTGGTGTTTTGGTTTTTTTTCCTGGCCCAGATGGATAGCTCCCAGTTGATCCACTGTCGGGAGCTTGTGGCACATCACCTTTCTACTCTGCAGTCTTCCCTGCCTCTAAATTCCGTTTATGTCTACCGTCCCCTCAAGCACACCTTGGTGACCTGTGACAAAGGAGTGTTCAGATTACATCCCTCCTCTGTCCCAGGCCCAGATTTCTCCAAGGACAACAGCAAGCCAGAAGTGCCAGTCAGAGGTACAGCAGCCTTCTACCATCATCTCCCAGCTGCCAGTGGGTGCAAGCATACCTCTGCTAAACGCAAGGTAGAGGAAATGGAAGTGGATGACTTCTATGATGGAATCAAACGGCTCTATAATGAAGATAATGCTTCAGAAAATGTGGGTTCTGTGTGTGGCACTGATTTGTCGAGACAAGAGGGACATGCTTCCCCTTGTCCACCTTTGCAGCCTGTTTCTGTCATGTAATTTCAGCAAGTGTTACCTTCAAGTGCAAACTAAGGTAGACTACTCTGGGGATGAGAACAGGCAAAACCAGGAAAGGCTATAGAAGGATATATACCTTATCGGGCTGATTCGAAGTGAGCCAGAAAAAAAAAAACCCATTTACTTGTCCAGCTAATTATAATTCAACATTATTTAAGCACTTAAAGACCAAAAAAATGATATAAAAAATGCAAAAGATGCAAAATTTTTTAATAAGCAAATTTCTTTTTAGTATGTCAGTTGCACTCTTTTTCTGCTGGAATGTAATGTAGCTTGCCCATGTTAAAAATTCACATCTAATGTTTTTTTAAAAAGTTCCAAAATTCATAGCTAGCAAACCTGTCCCCAGTGTCCTGATTTAGTTTTCCTGTTGCTTTTGCTTGCTTCTCCATTGAGTACTTAATGAATTTTATGCATGTTTATCTATACTGACTTCCACTGAATAGGAAACCCCCAAAATTATTTTTTAGCAATTTAATGAACAGATTATTTCAGTGTGACAGCCATGTTTAATCCATGATTCAAATTCCAGTTAATCTGAAAAGGGTACTTTGGAACTGTCCAGTATGAATCAGAGGTGGTAATAGAAAAAGGTCTCATATTACCACATTGATTTTATGTTTGTCTCATTTCAGTTTCTACAGTTTAAAAACAATGACTGTTTTCATTTTTGTTTATCTTAAAGTGAAATTTAAAAGTGGCATGTAATTAGGATACTCTTAGATTTGTTGGAAGCATTTTTGAATTTGCATAAAAGAATTTGTGATAAAGTTAATATATCCAGGTGCTCACCAAAGAAACATGTATGTAATAACTAAAATTAAGATTTTTGTAACTGCTCAGTTTTCACTAATTAATAATCGTAGTAGGAGAGACTGTCTAGGTGTTGGGGCAGCTCTATGATTTGAGTCTCTAACATGTAATAACTGAATTCAGTACCCTAGTTTTATGTTAAACTGTTAGGATTTCCTTGATAAAAGTTATTTCCCCTGCCTCCTCAGCCCCCCTGTATTTCTCTTAATGACCTCTGGATCCTGAGCTGCTTTTACAGTCTGGAAAAGGTATTGCAGTCACACCGTGTACTGATGAAAAAAGCCTCTGGTAGCAATAAAAAGTTGTCCTTAACCTTTGTATCTGTAACTTTTCTTTTTGCTTGTGAGGAGGTTCAGGTTCCTGATTGCTTAAGCACTGCCATTTCAACTAAGGAAAACAATAGAAATCATCAGAGTATGTTTACTAAAAATAAAACATGAAGAAAAGGAGATTTGAATGTGAGTGAGAAATGTAGGTTTTAGACATAAGGAACAGTTTTTCTTTTAAGGTATTTTCTCATTGGTGGATTGTGGATCTTCCAAACAGCAAATTCTCACCTTAGTTGGACTGTTCGTTAGGGCAGGCTCAGACCCGTATCTAGATAACGTGTCATTTTTAGCCCACTGATTTTGTTCAAGTTTAGCCGAGCAAGAGTATTCTCAGGTCAACATCTGACTTTCTCGAAACTCTTGTAGTGGGGTTGACTGCCTATTTTATGACCTTACAATCCACGTAAGGGGAAGGAAGATAGCAAGGAATTGGCTTCACAGATACATATAAAATCTCACCTCATCTTGATCTGTTCTTCTCCCGAACTGTGGGAGCTCCAGGAAGTTTACAACTACATAGATTCATGGTATCTGCAGAACGAATGGCACTTAGTTCCCTTTCTCCCCCATTTAGCAGATGAGGACGTGGAGCATAGCGGGGGAATATTTCATTTGTAGTCCAATAGTTGCAAATTGAACAAAAGTTAGAGGACAATAGGGTTTTCATTATTTTATCTTAATTAAGGTTTTCTAATACTAAGAATTGATGGTCAGTCACTTTGGAACCTAATGTTTTTATGGGACACTGAATCGCGTGAGATGGCTGGGCTGCTAGCTCTCATTCCTCAAAGCTCATTTAACCCGTAGTTCAATTCGCTGATAGTACTTGGAGACCTGACCCTCCTGAGCATCCTTTCAGTTACACCTTCCCTGCTATGGCTCCACAGATCTGAGCTCCCCTCTTCGTGACCTTAGAGAACTTTGGGGTGAGACAAAAATAGTACAATATTCTTTTTTTTTTTTTTTTTTTTTTGCCCGCGCTAGAGTGAGTGCTGCGGCGTCATCCTAGCTCACAGCAACCTCAAATGCCTGGGCTCAAGCGATCCTCCTGCCTCAGCCTCCCGAGTAGCTGGGACCACAGGCATGCGCCACCGTGCCCGGCTAATTTTTTCTATATATTTTTAGTTGTCTGATTAATATCTTTCTATTTTTAGTAGAGACGGGGTCTCGCTCCTGCTCAGGCTGGTTTCGAACTCCTGAGCTCAAACAGTCCGCCCGCCTTGGCCTCCCAGAGAGCTAGGATTACAGGCGTGAGCCACCGCGCCCGGCCAGCACAATAGTCTTGAACAGTATGGAACTTTAAGAACATTCCTGCTGTTAAGTTAGTGCCCGTTTTACCTGAAACTATTCTCAGCCTGTCCCAAGTTACTTGTGTTAAATTTTGGCATCACATCACAAACTCTCCTAGGATTTGGAAACTCATTATGACTTTATATGTCATTGCCTGGTGCCTCCTGGTGGCTAAAAAAACCTGTCATTTCATGAAATCTCTGGAAAGGCAAGGGAATATACTTGATGAGCATAGTTAATAGTTATTCTCTAATCCTCCACCAGAAAGTGAAAGACCATGCTCTATGTAGTCACTGATGATGAGACGAGGAGAAGGTAAATATTTACTTCATTCTCTGCAAAATGGATCAGTTGGTTCTCTGGGAACTGAATTTCCTCTGCAGACATGATGTGTTACTGCGGAGGGAGAAGGGAGAGCTGTGAACGAGGAGTCAATGGCAGTCAAAGTTCAGGCATAACTGATTTGTCAGAAGTGTTCCTAACGCTGCCTTTGGCTCTCAAGGAAACTAGAAGGTAGCTAGCTCGTCACTCAGGCAAGCTGGTGAGAATTGCAGTCTACATTCCCACCGGTGAGAGAAATGAGACTGGTGTCTGTGCCCCCAAGAAGTACTTATTTCTTTTCTTCTGTGCTATGACAGCCACCACTTCCGTGTGCCTTCTCTACTCTTTACATTCCTGCATTTTCATCCTTTCTAATGTACGCATTTTGGATTTCCTGAAGCAAGAAGGCAAGGTGCATTACTGCCCAAAGCAGCCTTTTACTTGGAAGTGTGGTTAAGCTGCTGATACTCAGCCAGCACGGTGGGGAGCTCATCTCGTCCCCAGAAAGACAGGCCCAAACTGCCGTCTTTAAGGTAGTTCGTACACCTTCAACTGGAAAGGAAAGACACGGGGCCGTGTGCTCTCACAGCGTCCCACGCGGTGGGCATCCCGAGGATTCGCGTTGGCCACTGCCACGTGGCTGAGAACTAACACGGTTCCACTTCTAACTCATCTCGATCCTTTGCCCTTTCTATATGACGTTGTGAAGCTTTGTCCAAATGTTACTTCTAAAGCCTCCAAAATTCTTGAAATTAGCCTTTCTGTTAAAACAATGTCTCCATCTGTAATTAAATAATGTTTTGAGCTTTGGCCACTAGATGGTGCTTCTAGAAAAAGAATACAGCATCTTTTAAAATTTCTGGGAGAGACTGAGTTTGTGCGTACTGTTCGGTAGTGAGCAGCTGAATGCTCCTTTGGTTGCTGAGCCAACGCATCGACGTTTGCAGTTACAGGTTCGCCTCACTTAAGGTACAGGAAGCTGCGCACGCAGCACTGAGGGAACTTGAGCGAAATCAGCCATGATAATGGGTAGCAGGTCTCAGAGCAAACCAACCCCAAACAGGCTTGGTGCAGTGGCTCATGCCTGTAATCCTGGCATGCTGGGAGGATCACTCGAGCCCAGGAGTGTGAGGCCCGGGTAACAGAGCAAAACACTCTGAAAACAAACCCCGAAACTACCAGCTTTACAAATTAAAAATTCCAATTAGTGAGTCGTGCAGCCCTGCAAAGTAGCCTAGAAATACAATTGAGAAGGCTTGAGAACAGCCAAGTCTCAAAACCTTGCTTTGAGTTGGATTTGACCAATTATTAGGACAGAAAAAATGAAGTGCACACTTACTTGAAAGCTTGCCTTCACCATACTGATGAGGTTAGTGGCTTTTATGATGTCCTAATATGTAGGACAGAGATACAACTCTGCCTTGTGCCACCTGTTGATGATTCTTTCCTTGAAAAGATACAGTAAGAGGTAACCAAGAATGTCTCATCAGCTAGAGAGACTTGAGAAGAGCTCACAGTTCTAGCTTTTTGTCCCCGGGAGCTTCTGAGTTAAGGATGGAATGAAAACCTCTCTCTGGACTCTTAAAGTATAACTTTCATAGCAGATCAAATGCCAGAGTTACTGACCTTACTGTGTTAAACAGGAAGTAGAAAAGCATTTTGACTAGCCCGAGGCCCAGTGAACTAGTTTCTCATTTCTTGGAAACGGCTTATTTTGTTAGGCAATAGGACACTCCAGAATGAAGGGCAGCCTTAGGCAAGCATCCACTGAAAAGCAATTGGTGGATAATAGACTTTTCGCTTTTCAGAAAATGATCGATCTTCAGCAGACAAGATAGCATGGAAAGGGCTTATCTTTTTCTTTATTCCAAAAATTTGCTTTGTTTATGAGATATACGGAGGGACCAGTCCAATTCACAGTGTGTGGCCACGTCCCCAGCACCTAATGCAGGCCTGGTGCTGTACAGAGAATAGAGTATTTGGAGAGAGGAGGGGTGAGCAAAGTGGGTGGGTGTAAAAAAGAAAAAAAGGAGAGCTAGAATTGCAACTCTTGAGAGTTCTAAAAGCACTGTGCAGAGAACGCACAGATTACCCGCGTTACGGAGCATCATTGTGCCTCCCCCCACCCCAGTACATACACACACCCAATTGTTCTTTCATGCAGCAGGGGCCAACCTCATAACAGCCTCTCCTCTGATCTAGGTGCCATAATTTTGAAAGTTTCCACAGTGCACTAAAAGGCCATTCAATTCACGGCCCTGCAAGTAACTGGCTTGGGGCAGCTGTGAAACCCTTTGTGTCTCACATGACGCTTCCCTGACAGCGAAAAGGTCTCCTCTGCACCCCTGTCGGGAATAGCGAGGCGGACAGGGAGGCGGGTGGGCACGGTCAGGCTCCTCCAGTGAACACACGCGGTCCCTCCACCAGCCCTGGGTGTGTGCGCTGCGTGCTAGAAATTGATCTGAAAACCAGATGGCATCCGTCACAGGGACACGACACCACGGTCTTAAGGATTCAAGTACAAGGGCCTCGAAGCGAGCCGCACTGCCATCTCTGCCACCAAGTGGAAAGGCAAGTGATCTGCGAAGCAAGGGGTTTTGTGTAGAAAGGTCGTCTAAATGCAGTGAAAATTATGCAGTTTTTCAGAAATTTGGAACTGTTTGCCCATAATCTGGGCCAATGGTAGGCCAAAAACAAAATAATAAGGAAGTTTCATTCGATAAGTACAGTTGCTGGGGAAGAAAAGTTGAGTCGAGCACATTGGGATGAGGATTGTTTCTATGTCCCAGCTCCGCCAGCACATGACGAGAAAGCTGGCTCTCTGCTTCGTACGGTGCTGTGCCAACCTCGAGTGGGCCATCTATGCTACACTCGTACAAGCAGGTGGAGTCTGAATCTGAAACCAGGTAATTTTTTAAAAGATTGAATGAAGAATAAAAAGCCCGTTACCAATGAAAATAGGCCCAGATGGCTCAATTCACCCTGCTTTGCTTTTCCACAATCTAGTCTGAGATAGGCCAGTAATTTTTATTGCTGATAATCATCCCTGGATGGATTCACATCCCTTAATTGGTCAACCAGGAGAAGCTGGGAGAATCTACCAGTTTTATCAACACTTGAGAAAAAGAACCACCTCAGGTAAAATGCCAAATCCATGGCAGCCTCTCTTAGAGATGGCAAAGCACTCGGCAGGGGCGTCCACAACCGGCTGTCCCTAGAAACTGAACTGAGGTTAACCTGCTTGTAATAGCCCGCCCCTGCCATTAAGGTGATTGCTATTTACTTCCTCTCACTTGGAGGCTAAAACAAAAAAAAGAGAATAGCAACTAACAGCAGACTGCATTTCTTACGGAAAAAATACTGCCTAATTTG